AACTTCACATGATATGTACATTTATTGCTTTGGTTTATCATATTGCATTATTTATATAAATGTACCTTGTGTTGATTTATAAATCTACATTTAGTAGCCTTGGTAAATATTTGTTTAATGTTTTGCAAATAAAATGGTAAAACTCAATATTTTACCAAACATTGTTTGTGAATATCAAATCAATATTTTTAATTTACATTAAAGTTATGCAAACTTTATCATTAATGTAAACATTAAAATATTACTATTAAAATTAATTTTTTTGTTTAGAAGTATACACTAAATTAATAATTTAAATATTTTAACATTTAATATATTATAAAACATTCTAAACTGATTTAAATATAAATATGAATTTAATAGCAATTTATGTAAAACGACTCAAAAGAAAATATTCATTGAATATAAAGCCGACATTCATTGAGAAAACGATATATTATTTATATTTAATAAATAGTTTTAAATTAATTGTTTCAATGAATTGCGATTACGAGACACAGAAACTACTCTTTAATTTTGGCACATTTCTCGGTGGTATACGAGTCTATAATCAGGCTATTATTATATTGATCACAATAATTAGTTCAATTATCTACAAAAATATACATGTTAATTTATTACAACACTCACGATCATGGTTAGATGAGATTTATATTGCCAATAACAATGCAACTTATGAAATTAATAATATAAACAATTTTAACGACAATAGATTTTTAACAAAAAGGTTACATTTTCAACAAATATATTCATATATAATTTTAATTTTATGTAAGTATTGTATTTTACTTATGATTTAAAAAATTGCTATTTTTTGATGTTTTTATTTACTTGATAGAATATCGGGTGTACATTATTGGACTAGACCATTACAAAGTCGAATATCTCATAAAGTATTCGGTCTAAAAATTTAAATAATATATCAAAATAATCATCAACTGCGGGAGTTTTTGTTTTGATATGGTCAATATGCTTGACCTCTTATTATAGAAGTAATCTCAAAACGACCAAATTTTTGTCATTTTGTCCATAGACATAATATTAAATTTAAACTTATTTTTAAGCAAAATCCTGAAATAGGTATCAAGTTATTTTTGCTCTTGTTTAAAAATATGTAATCAAAATTATTGTGCTGCATGTAGTTTTGAGTTAATTAATCATTTTTAAATATTTCAGATAAATAAGATTGTTTTAAAACTTTTGCTTGTCGAATTTTGATCACCATTTGGGAACAGCTGAAGTGACAATATTGTCACTTCACACATATATAGTTCCATGACCGGAAATATTTTTAACATACAAATATTTTTGGTCACGTGACTATATTATGGTTGAAATGGACTATTAGCGAGACTATGGACAAAATGGCAAAAATTTGGAAGTTTTGAGATTACTTCTTTAATAAGAGGTCAAACATATTGACCATATCATAACAAAAACTCCCGCAGTTGACGATTATTTTGATATATTATTTAATTTTCTAGACCGAATACTTTATGAGATATTCGACTTCGTAATGGTTATGGATAGGACTTTAGTGGAAAAAAGTATATATTAAAGTGTAATTTTGTAAAGTATAATAAAGTGTAATTATACATCAAAATTGTTAATAGGTCTGTGTCAGTTAGTAATGCTTTTAAGGTAAAATCCCATGTATGACGTTATGTTGCAATGTATATAAAAAAATGCAAATCCTATCCCTAGTAATGGTCTAGTCCAATAATGTACACCCTGTATATAGTGAATTAATTAATTCAATGTAAATACAAATTATAAATATAACTCATATAATATGAGTCATATTCCTTATATTTTCAAAGCATAAATATTTTTTATCTATTTATAAAATGTTTGTACAGTATATTTTTGGTAAAGTAAACTTATATTTATTGTTAAAACATATATCAATATAATGGTAAAACTTGTAATTTACAGATTTAGTAGTTGGAATATTTTTTGCCAACATAGTAATTAAAAATTACACCATGAACCAATTTTTGGCATCACTAATACCCCAGATAATTACTTATACATTAATTTATATATTTCTCACCAATGGCTTATTTCTAATGTATTTACTCGTTGTTTCACTAAACCATTTATTACATATTATTCATAGGATTAACCATAGTTTTAACACAGCGTTTCAATCAACAAATAAAATTAATTTGGGATTAAATATCAACCAATATCTCAAAGAACACAATAGGCTTTGTATAAAAATAGACAAATTGAATCGGTTTTGGAGTCAAATACTATTTTATGGTTTACTATGTTTAGTACCAATTAATCTCTTTTGTTGGCATCAATTGCTATTTGAATCGCTGGCTATTTATGTGCACTTTGTGTTACTTTTGTTGACTATTATCTTATATCTAATAATATTTATATTTCAATTCTTCGCCGGATATCTATCATTGAAAACTCATTTATCGGCCAAACGTTTGTCACGTATTCAGTGGCGGATCAATGGCTGGCCGTTTCGGCTTACATTTAAACTCAAATTAATGACATATTTTGAACGATTGGCCGCTAATCGCAAAATAGGTCTCAGATGTGGGCCATTGGGTGCCTTTACTATTACCATGTTTTATATGGTTTGTGCTAAAACCAACAATTTTAAGCTAAAACTAACGCTTTTATTTTATATAACAATAGGTTGCCGTCAAATATATCCGATACTTTCTTCTAACTCATAAATTTTCATATAAATTAAAAGACTAGGTTGATTGTACTAGATTGTATTTTAATTAAATATAATTATAAAATTATTAGAATTTACAAATTACCTTTAATTAAAATATAATTTGAAAATAGAATAATTATTTTAGTTATTATAATTAAGTAAACATTTTATTTTATATTAATTTATATTGTATTAATGTTTTAATAAATCTAGTTATAGACAATGCACATACAGTACAAATGACAAATGTAATCCTAGTTTAATTAAACTTAATAAATCAATACTGTTTACAACATCATTAAATGAACATTTGGTAACCTTGATATTCATAATATTAAAATCAATTTATTGATCATTAAATATACATTTATATTCTTAATGTTCAATAGACTATATCATTAAAATATTTATAAATCCATATATTATTTCATGTTTATTAATGAGTAAAAACTTTGAAGAATAGTTTATATATTTATTTTAGAAATGCAAATACACATGTTTAAAATAATAAAAATATTTTAGGCAATATTTGCATCATTTTATAATTAAATGTTGTAAATATAATTACAATTCATAACAAAATGAATTTAATTGCTATTTATTTAAAACGACTTGAAAATCAGTACTCATTGAATACAAAGCCGACAATAATTGAGAAAACTATATATTATTTATATTTATTTAATAGTTTGAAATTAATTGCTTCAATGAATTGCGATTACGAGACACAGAAACTACTCTTTGATTTCTCAATATTCATGGGAGGGCTGATAAAAACCAATCAATTAACTCTCATTCTGATCATGATGTTTGGCTCGTTTCTATATAAACGTATTCATTTGGATTCAGGTAAACAGTCAAACATATGGCTTAAAGTGATGTTTGTGGTCACCGGGAAGACAGACATTCAATCTATGCCTTTATTTTACATAATGTCCAGTGAAAGTAGGGATAAAATAATTTCAAAGTTAAAAGTTTTTGAAACTATTTATACTAAATCTTTTGTTATTTTGTGTAAGTATTGCTTATATAATGTATTACTATATTATAATTTAAACAATTTTACTACATAAAATTAACATTTCCAGATTTGGCCTTTATTATATTTTTCACCAAAATAATTATTGAACATTATACCTTTGTAGAGCTATTAATCTCAATTTTACCACAACTAATTGGTATTACATTAATGTTTATATACATTACGGACTCATTATTTGCAATATTTGCAATGTCTGTTACGATATATAGTGGCCATCAAGTGATTAACCAAATTAATCATATGCTTAGCAAACAAATAGAACCTAATAATGCATTTTTAACTAATAAAATGGTAACATATCTGAAAGCCCGGCGTTTTATAACTGATCACCACTTGTTTTGCCTAACAATCGCCGGTTTAAACAGGTTTTACAGTCAATTAGTATTCATCGGTTTATTAAGTTTAATACCCATTAATATTATTTGTTGGCATCAATTGCTTTTTGAAACGCTTCCCATTCATGTCTGGGTTATCATCGCTTTCGATGCCTTTTTAACAACTTGTGTTATATTTATTTTTACGTTTTTCACGGCTTACATATCATTGAAAACTCATTTATCGGCCAAACGTTTGGCACGTATTCAGTGGCGGATCAATGGCTGGCCGTTTCGGCTCACATTTAAACTCAAACTAATGACATATTTTGAACGATTGGCCGCTAATCGCAAAATCGGTATTACATGCGGACCGTTGGGCACTCTAACTATGCCTGTGTTTTATTTGGTTTGTATAAAATTTTAATTAATTTAACTATTTTAATTAATTTTATATCTAGATTACTGTAAAGTACATCCGATATTTCATATTAATTCACAAGTTTTCGTATCAACTGAAAAATTAATAAATAATAAATATTGAAAATATTTATTTATTTATAAACATATGTATTGAAGTGTTGGCTCGTCTCTTAACAGAACAAATTCTTACAAAATTATGATCAGGCAATTAGACAGGACATTGTGGAAATTGCAATTTATTATACAATTGCAATCCACTAGCATAATATTACAACACATAAATTGTGTATTAAATAAATACAACACGGAACATTTTTTAAATTTAATTATTATTAATTAATAATTTATTATTGGTGTATTATAACAAATAACTCTACATAACCCTATTTGTTTAGTTGCCAATTATTATAATAACGAGAACAAATGAAAACGCGTTGTAAGGTTACATTGGTTCACAATTTATCTGTTAACAGTAGGGATAATTGTGGTAACTTAGGGTTACCTATAGTGAAAGTACCTTTGGGACACGTTACTACACGCTCGAACCATTGCTAAAACAATGTCCCACCGATTGGCTATTATTGTAGCATGGTATATAATCAATGCCTCGCCATTGACTGACCATAAAAGTTTCGTAACCATAATGATTAATAGCTAGATATTTCATCCATATTAACCAATGGGGAATTGAACTAGAATTATAAATATAATTATTGAATTACATATTTATTAACTCGATGTAGTAAAAGCAAAAATTAATTCAAATATAATTAGTCCTGAGCAGTTATGAATTAAATTAAACTTGTTATTTTTGAAACTATAATAAATAAGTACCCTGAATTAATGAATAATCCGCCAAAAAGTGTCATTGTTAAATTGATTGGTGGCACAATTATCATGGCCATTTGCGCATTGGGCACAATGGAAGATATAAGGCAGCCTGATAATAAATTGTAAAAAGCACATTTTCAAACTAATTGTTATGTGTAATTGTGTATTTAGATGGATATATTTAATATTTCAATATTAGCACATAATAATACTTATTATTAATCAAGTTTAACTAAATTACACAATGTAATTAAACAAATACCTAGGGCCCCGCCGGCAATAAGTAATAACATATTATTTCCAACACAAATGGCAAACGCCTCGGAATCGGGATTCAAACCGGCCATGAAATACACAATTGATATGAAAACCATTGAAATAACCATCGATACGGGAATCTATAATAACCATAATTATAAGTTTTACATTAAATTACCAAGTGCAACTGGCAAAAATTATTGTTAGCATAATCTAAATTTAATTAAATAATCACTTACCCTAATACATATTTGAGACATGTAGTACGTAATCACCGAATACATATGGTTATGGTGTTCGCGCAAAAAGATAGCTGTGCCATTGCAAAATATCTGCAAATATCATAACATTTGTCAACTCTACATTTAGCATGACCAAATGAATTTCGCTCAATATTGTGCACAACAATAAACCACTGAAAAGCACTTACGTTAACAAACATTAGAGTG